TTTGCTGGTTTGGGGACCTGCTGGAGGAGTTGGTGTCAGCTGTTGGTGTAGGTATCTCTGCTTGGCAAGTGTGTCAAGAACATCTCGTCTGAGTTGTTGCCATCTTAAACAATGCTAAAGATAAATTTTTGTTACAGAAATCTGTGTAAATGTGCTAGATGTGCAAAGCACTGAGATGTGTATAGAACAAGAAGAAATCTCTTTTGTGCCTTTAGAAAGATCTTGAGAAAGTACTCATCGCAGGCAGGCAGGCAGGCATGACTCGGACTCACCTTCTTCATAACTTCTAAACCCTTATTTGTGTGGGTCTGAGAAGAATGATTTCATTTTTTGTATCATCAGATTTTATAACATCAAGCTGACTACCCTGAATCTGCAGAAGAGAGCTGGAGGAATTTGAATAGGACAAAGCACATGTTAAGAAAAGAGAAAACCAGGCCTAGGTCTTGAGCAAGAGTGAAGCCTCTCACATCGCTGTCCCCCAACTGCCAAGCTTCTCCACTTTCACATCACCCTGATTCCACCTTCAAGCACATATCAACCTGGTGACCCTGGTGACTCCAGCCAGACACTTCCCTGTCTGAAGAGCAGTTGGTGGTATTGGAAGCTTTGAGAAATCTCTGTACAGAACTTCTTGCCTAATTTGTAGCAGAAACCAAAGAAGAAAAGGCAAAATTCTCCAAAAAGAACAAATGACTACAGATTCTGAGCAGATAATTATCAGATACCAGAGTGTAAACTGATTGGTACAAGGATTATGGACTGCACACACTCTATGACCCTGATATTTAACTTCTTCTACCGGAGAATTTCCAATTCAATAATATAATTCATTGAAAACCCACTCATTAGAGAGTGAGAACACTTCTTTAATGAGCTCAGACAGAGCTAACGTTAATTTCTTATTTGTTAACCATTTAATTTTTTTTTTTTTAGTTATAGATGGGCACAATACCTTTATTTATTTTTATGTGGTGCTGAGAACTGAACTCAGTGGGTGCTTAACACGTGCAAGGCAAGGGCTCTATCACTGAGCCTCAATCCCAGTCCCCTTTTTAACGAATTTAAAGTAAAATGTAGACATGACTTTTAAAGCTTTCGAATGCACATGTAAAAGAAGACGTCGATTTAATAATCGCAATACGCTTAAACAAAATAAAAAAAGTTAAAGCCAATTTTTAACATCACGGACTTCTTTGCCTACATTCGAATTTCTCCATTTCTTCCACAACCAACCAGCTTCTCAAACTAGGATTCAATCAGGAAGTTCCTGAGGCCAGTGCAGGTACATCCGGGTCTCCGGGTACCCGGACTCACCGCAGAGAAAACTAACATTCCCTCCGCGGGTTTCCCAAGGGCAGGCGCAGTGCCTCGTGGGAAATGTAGTCTCCTCACTAACATGGCCCACCTGGTAGGCCGATTCATTCTGAGCATGCGCGGCCACGCCCACTCCCGCCGCGTTTCCGCTGAAGTTCTCGGGCAGAATTTCTCCCCACGCTCCAGAGCACACCTAGACTTGCGTTCTTTGTTTTTGAAAGTTGGTGTGAGTGGGTGGAGGTCCCCGAGCTTCGAAGTCCCTGAGGAGCAGGAGGGGTGTCTTGTTACTAGGGGAGATCAGAAACGTCCGCGGATCTCAGGGTCCGGGCCGTGACGGTGCCGGCCGGGGCCGCGGAAGGGACGACTGGGTTGTGCTTTCAGGACTTACCTCCTCGGGAGACCCGTCGCCGCCAGAAGGCAGGGGATGTGCCTCCAGAAGGCCGGAGGTTCTGAGGGAGGCGGTGGAGCAGAGGCTCTAGAGCCGGAGGTATGCTACGGTGAAGTCACAGGCCGCGCGCCCTTCGGATCCCGTCCTCACCCGGGTGGCGTCAGTTTACCCACGGGTGCSAGAAGCTTCCTAACCGAACTAGGAAAGTGACCCCCAAATTCCCAGAGAAATTGATCAGTGCGACGCGAGCGCGCTCGCAGGCTTGCCCTGCGGCCCTCGTGTCCGTGGGGTTCCTTGGCGACTCTTCAGAAAGTGAGGTTTCTGGTCCTTGTGATACCGCCAGTGTGACAGTCCTGCTCCCCGCACGTGTTGGAAGTTTAACGTTAGAGAAGCACCGAGGCCAGCATGTACAGCAGGGTTTATTCAAAAGGGGGCAACAGAATTCTCCTGGGAGGGAGAAGGGGCCATGGCTGGTATCCTGGGATCCCCTTTTTTATATGTCCTAGGCTTCCTTTGTTCTGCCCCCTTCCCCTTATCTCTCCTTCCTGACAAGTGACTAGGCCCAGGAATGCTGGTGTGTGTGTGGGGGTGTCAAGGTGGAAAACCGGTGGGCTGAGGGGGGAAGGGCAGAATGGAGCGGCAAGGACACTTTAATTAACCTTATAGCTCCCTGTAGGGAGGGGTAATTCTTGGGACAGGTTATCTTAGCAACAGATTGGGCTGGGACAGGTTCTTTTTTTTTTTTTTTTTTTTTTTTTTTTTTAAGAGAGAGGAGAGATAGAGGGAGAGGGAGAGA